GGAAAATAAGATATAATAATATAGAGGTATTTTATAAAAAATAATATTGGAATTTTAATTCAAGTTTCTGATAAATTGTGGGTTTTTTTGTATATATTGCGATTTAAAAAATAATCTTTTGCCTTTTCTGATAAGTTGGGAACTGAATTAGAATATATTTTTTAAGATTAAATGCATCAGTTTATTAGGCAAAGCAATTAAGCATTAGATAGAAAATATGGTAATTCAATCTCAAATATTTTATTGAATATCTATAGAATGTTTTGAATAGAAAGGTTTGTAAACATACTCTATATTCAAAAATTCTTGGAGAATTAATGGTTGTTTTAAGGGAAACATGGAATGAAATTGTAACAGACATTTTAGAAAATTTAGTATAAAGTGTGTTGAGAAGGGTTTAAGCTGTAATAGATAGCAATGGTTATCCAACTAAGTACTAATTATTTTTATAAAAAATTGAATAAAATAAAAAAATTTTTATATAAAATTACTTATTAATATTTTTTATAATTAAAAAATTAAAGTTGGCTATTAAATTTAAAATTTGCGATAATTTTAAAGTGGTCCAATACTTTTGACCGGGGAGTGTACAACCTTGCAAACGAACTTCTTTCAGTCGTGACACCAGAACTGGTTCCCCGCGACTCCAACGTGTTACTTTTTATTACTTATTGATTATTTTTTTTTTTTATTATTTTAAATGAAACATATTAATAAACAAAATAATAATTAGTTTTATGATTCAATTATAAAAGTTAAATTAATCCAAATTTTTCAATACTTTATCGATATCAGATTTTAATCTATCACTTATCGGTTTATGTTCGTTTGTAAATAAAGGTTTTATTACAGGTGGTACCTTTTCACGCAAATAACGTTTCTCTAAAACAATAAAGATGAATTGTTAAATCAATATCATGTAAAGCTTAATTAAATACTATTTATAATTCGATTTACTTACGAGGACCGCAAGCAGCCTTTGAAGCTTTCTCTAAGAACATACAACCATTACTCCTTATCTCATCAGGATATTTATCCTTTTCATTTAATATAATATCAATTATAGTATTTAATAAAGTTTGTGTTGACGTTGATGGTGCAGGTGCTGGTGCTTTTCCAGCATCTTCCGTTGCTGCTGTTGCTGCTACTACTTCTGTATTTGATGATTCTTCAACAACGCTAGTACCAACTTTTTCTGAAGTCAAGAAATCTAAAGAAGGATTGATTTCTACAATTCAAAAAAATCAAGTAAATAAACGTTTTATAAATTAAAAAAAAGAATTTATAAAAAAAAAAAAGTCATACCTTTGGCCGAATCATCCATTGATAATAACGTCAAGGCAATTATACCCTCATTTTGAAGTATAGGATATTTGGATTCTATAACCATATTAACAAGTGGCTCAATTATTTCCACTTTATTCAATTTTTGTCTCAACAATTTCATTGAAATTCCTTCTATAAAAATGAAAAAGTTTCATATGAATAAAATTCTCTTATCTTTATCATTCCCATCTCTCCCCATAAACATTTTCTACCTTGTTCTTTGTATGGATGTTCGCTCCAAAGTTTTTTTACAAGATTAACAAGGACGCGTGTTCCCTCACTTCGAACGGGTATTTCATCTGATCTTTTAATTAAAGACAATAATCGATTTA